ATGGTAAGATTCTTGGTAGTGTGGATGAGCAGAGAGATCTCGGTGTCGATGTGCATGGATCCCTGAAAGTTGCCACTCAGGTTGATAGGGTTGTTAAGAAGGCGTACGGTGTGTTAGGTTTTATTGGTAGAGGGATTGAGTTTTGGAGCCATGAGGTCATGTTGCAGCTGTACAAAACTCTGGTGCGGCCGCACTTGGAGTATTGCGTACAGTTCTGGTCGCCGCATTATAGGAAGAATGTGGAAGCATTGGAAAGGGTGCATAGGAGATTTACCAGGATGTTGCCTGGTTTGTAGGGAAGGTCTTATGAGGAAAGGCTGAGGGACTTGAGGCTGTTTTCGTTAGAGAGAAGGTTAAGAGGTGACTTAATAGAGACATACAAGATGATCAGAGGATTAGATAGGGTGGACAGTGAGAGCCTTTTTCCTTGGATGGTGATGGCTGGCACGAGGGGACATAGCTTTAAATTGAGGGGTGATAGATATAGGACAGATGTCTGAGGTAGGTTCTTTACTCAGAGTAGTAAGGGTGTGGAATGCCCTGCCTGCAACAGTAGTAGACTCGCCAACTTTAAGGGCATTTAAATGGTCATTGGATAAACATATGGATGATAATGGAATAGTTTAGGTTAGATGGGCTTCAGATTGGTTTCCCAGGTCGGCGCAACATCGAGGGCCGAAGGGCCTGTACTGCGCTGTAATGTTCTATGTTCTATACGAGTGAGCGGTCGCCAACCTCCAGCATGTCCTGGACCCACCAAGAATAGATGTTCCATCCCCAGGAGAGTGCTGCAGAGAAATAATCATTGGGCTGTTTTCTCTGAACACTTTTTTAGTTTATTAATGATTGTTCTAAAGCGGCCAAGGGAAGGCCGTTTGACTAGATAGTTGGAGTTGGGATATCCTTCAGATAACCAGTCAGAGTTGCCGACCTATGTTTGAAATTGCATCGCTGACTTGCACCTTCATCCATTAAGAACCAGGACAACTGGTCTGTGAGATGTTGAACCAGGGGGATAGTGGCTCTTTAAACTGCACCATCTCTAAAAAGAATTCATGAAATCCTACCCGTAGCATGGCTTCCAAAGATCATTACAGATTTACATTCTGACAGCATTTTTCAGTTCTATCACTAATAATCTTGATAAATATTTTTATTTTTGCTTGAATCATCATTAGCTGCGATCACTCTGTTAACCCAACCCCTTTACTCCCTACTTACAGGCAACCAACACTGGGGCAATGCTGTTAAAATAGAAGTGGACCCCACTACCCCTCCAACCTGCTGTACCATTCAATATGATCATGGTCGATCTGATCTTGGTCTCAATTCTATTTTGTCTGTTCCACATTTCTCTTGACATCCCCTACAGTTACTAAGAAGGAAAATCCTATCTGTAATACATTGATAGGAAGGGAAAAAAATACTCTGCTTTGTGTTATATGTGTGACAAGAGCATCCTTTCTGAAGGAATTTACAGCCAAGAATGTCAGGAGTAACCAGAATGGTCTGGAAGAGTTGGCCTACAGAGAGCTTCAATTGATGACTTGGCTTGTTTCTATTGTTTACTTTGTTCACTCTGACGTATCATGGTGAGCTATGCACAGAAAGGTCAGGGTTCAGTAAACCAAATGTTCCAAAGTCTAGTATTCCATTGTACAGAATTCAGCCCTGATACTGAGGTTGGTGCTAAATGTTAGACTGGAGCTCTGATTGCTGCCAGCGTTCGGTTCTGTTGAGTTTCCTTCTATCCTCTTTAATCCTATTTAAAACTAACTAGTTTTAACCCGGTGTTGAAATTCTCTATTTGTACTGCTAATAACTGAAATAAAGTGGCTGATATGTATGCATTTGGTTTATATATTGTTTAGTATTTTAACTGTTAATCTTGTTCCCTCCTCTTGACTCAAAATCACCTGTACAGAAAAGTATCGGACTTCGAGATTTCTTTTGACTTGATGAGGTGTCTTTTTTTTATACCTTCTCACTGCAGAGAGTGAGAAGTTGTAAAGATAGTTGCCTCACTGTTCAACCCTGGGCCGCAATCTTGCCCATGGCTGACTTACCAACATGTGGAGGGTGCAAGGGTCAGGTTGTATTTTGGTAAATCATCAACTCGTTTTACACCTCCACCAATTTTCTTTTGCAATAAAATATCGAGCAAAACTTTTGATTTGGCCATTAATAGCTGTTGCTGTTGAAGCTTTCAGTTTGCACTTTATCCAGCAGATTATTTGTATTTCTGTTCCCTTTATTCACAAGTTAGCCTGTTGCAGACTTGATGCCATGTCCACCTCAGCAGTTGACTAGACCTGAGGGGCTATGTGCGCCTAGTTTTCCTGCTGTCTGAATGTGTGTCCTGTCCTGTCCTGTCCTTACAGGCATCGTGCTGGTTGGTTCCTATTTGGGCATCCAGCACCAGTACAGCCAGCACCAAATGCTGAAGTGCCAGCAGAGGAAGCCAATCCAAACCGTGACCATCAAGAGAATCTGGATTACCAAGAGACTGTGCAAGAAGAGGTCAGTGCAATTTTCACATGGTTCATCTGCGTAGAGGATCTGCAGTTGAATATACAGCAGCTGTTAAGAGCTCAAGCCCACCCAGTGTCTTTAAGAAAGTTGTTTACTGCGAGAAGTCTAATCAGAATTAGGCAAAACTTCTGCAAATTTTTTTGAATGGTTGTAAATGTATTTTGAATAGCACCTTTTTGAAGTAATTTGGTGTTTTGAGCAGCATTATAACAATGTGCATGATGTTGAATGGAGATGTTCCAATGATTGCATGGCAGGAAATGAGGTTTCCACTTTCAGTTGTTCCATTCTGGGGATAGAAAATGTATCCACTGAAGGGCATTTGGGGAGAATTCAATCATTCCAAGCAGAGATTAAGATGACCCTGGTGTTCTTTGCAAAAGGCCATCACTCAGCAGGAATAGGTTGACTATAATGGCAGGACTTTCACAAAGGTAAATCTGCTCTGGGGGAAAAGGAACAATGCTCAACAAAACACACACGGTTGCCTTACGAATGAACCTATTCTATTTGTCAGTTTACGTGGCAGAGCAGGAGATTGTAACTTTATATATCTATAACCTGTCACTTTCCCCATTGTAACTTTTTAAACACCCATCACTGATTTCTAATTCCTTCGATGATACCGAACCTGCATAAAACACCTTAAATCAGACTAATGCCTAGCCCCGAATGGCCAAGATACTTCTTGCTTCAAGTAGGTTCATTACATTTTAAATTGAAAGACAAGCCCTTCAATGGTTTTGTCCCTTCCTATTTGTATAGCCTCCTCAAGAACTATGTTCTTCCAATCCCTTCTCCTCTACATCCTGATTTTCTTTTTGTCATCATTGATAGCCAGCTTACAGATACCCAGGCCCCAATCTTTT